ATATATATATATATATATATATACATAGAGAGAGAGAGAGAGAGAGAGAGAGGATCATGTAGGAACTCAAATATTGGTAGGAACCACAAGGACAAATCTTGGCCCTAAGATTGAAAAAATAAAAGGTGGAGATTTGATTTTTTTTTCATCAAAATCTCGCGAGATTATATGACGATTTGGTAATTATATACGAGATAATGACAATTTCCGATAAATGTTAAGTGTTTTGAGGGTTAAAAGGGAAAAAAATCAGATATTCGGAACCATACGCGCCTAGACGCCCCCAACCCACTCTCCCCCACTCTCACGCCAAGTGTCAACTCTTCATTAGCTGAGTTTTTTTGCCACATATTTCGTTTTTTGGCCATAACTTTTTTTTATTTGATAAAATAATTTCTGAAAAAACCAAAGTTCTTAAAATTTAATTGTCTACAAAATGAGTATAATCATGAAATTTTGAAGAAAAAAATATATTTTTTATATTTATCAAAAAACCCAAAAATAAATCTCCAAAATTATGAAAATTTAAGAAATACTTCTACTAACTAGTCTAATGACTTTGTAAAGAAGAATTTTTAAAAATAATGTGTTTTAGATACCAAATAGAGATGATTCAAAATATTTATGATTCAAAAATATTATGATTCAATATGTTTATGATAATTAACTTGTTATGATCTAAAAATATTTTTGACTCAAATATTTAATGATCTTTAATTATTATATTTTTTATGATTCAAATTTAAATGATTCAAAAAAATATAACGATCTAAATGTTATATTGAACAAAAACTTTATTTAATTCAAAATATTATGATCCAAATTAATATGATCGAAAAATGTATGATGCATACTAGCGTTATGATTTAAAATACTACGATTCAAAATTTTATGATCTTAAAATAATATGATTTAGAAAAAAAAATATGAACGAAAAATATTATGATAGTTAATATTCTTTTTATTTAAAACTTTATAATTGTTAAATATTAAAACTCAA